TTTTCTCCCTGATTTTTAAAGACCTTAACCTTTGAAATGGATTTCCAATGATTTTTTTTCCTAGAAAGAGTACCTCAGTTAGGAAAATATTTCCCAGCTGATTAGATTAGTGCTTTTTGAGCCACAGACAGTGTTTTCAGAATTGCTTCTCTCATAATATGTGTCTTAGTACAGAAATATTTATTTATTATGATACTGTGCAAATGATTGTCTCCTGTTAAAGAAATTAAATGGTCCTGTCTGTGCTATTGAGAATGTGAATATGATTATCTTTTGAAGGCTGTATTACTGCAGAGATTCACCCACCCTTGGGTCATTTGATCCCTGTGATTGGTGACAGAAGGTCTGGTTACTGCAAATAAATGACCTATTCTCTCTTCTCATCACTCGCCTTTAATTGGTGTTTTTATTTGTATAGAATAGTGAATGATAAGCTTAACTAGTAGCAAGTAACGTCCTTGAAAATTTAATAACCAAATTGATTTTTAATGAGTTGTCTCTTCAGTGCTGTTTTCAGGTTTTATATATCTCCTAGATACATATAGGCAGTAGGTGGAAAACTCATCAAACAGGTTAAAATTATTGTAACGAGAGAACTTAAATGTTTTGAAGAATTTGTAAGACATTTATCGCAGCAAAGCATCATTGCAAGTCTTTAGTAGATAATAAAATTATAGTTTTAAGCCATTTTGTTGCTAATTATGTCACACAGCTGTCCTAGACCTCATCTATTTAAAGTAGTCTCCTGAGTTAATTTTGGCTACCAGGAGAATTGCCCTAGTTCAGATAGACTCACGATAACCTACATACTGTACAGATGCACATACACACACAGGCCCCTTTGCTGGAAAAATTTAGGACCCTATCAGTCTTTAAGGGAAATAGCAGAAATGGTATTCTGAAAGATGTTGATGCAGCTGCTTTACAGTATTCACAGTCAAACCCATAAATGTTATGTGAAAACTGCAGGAATCAAAAGTAAATTCCTATTTTAATGTCATTTTAATTGAGATTTAAAATTTGAAATTTAAACCAGCATACTGTATATTAAGGACTAATCTCTTAATGCTTGTCTTACTCAATACATGGTCTTTCCTTAGTGTGTACTTTGCAAAAGTAGACATACATAAAATATTAAAAATGAGAAGGAAAAATGTTTTCACATTCAATTTACTTATAATGTAATTCCTAATGCCACTAACATATTTGAGATATATATTATGAGCTGTGGGTATTCACTGAGAGAAAGAAAATTTCTCTAATACACATATGTCAAGAGAAGAATGGATTTTCTTAGTTGTAAAGTTGAGTAGATGGCACTGTCTCAAAGGATTATGTGAGGAAAAAATACAGTAATGCATGTAGGAGTACAAACCCACACAAGAGACATTTTATTGTAACTCACATTCTGCTTCCTATAATGACTTTTTATAGGTCATTCTTTCCTGTAACACAGTGAACACTTCTGTAAGAAAATACAGTCTTATGTAGAAAATAGGTGGTAATTGTGGAAGCTTAGCTAGAGAATAGAAATTCGCAGGCAAGAATAATGATGAGGATTAATTGTAGGGCTTTTTAAATTGGATTTAAAAATTTTTTTCTTTAAATTTTCATTCACAGGTTATTACTATGGTTCTCAGGGGATCCAGATATGAAGATCTTTGGTTTCTTTACGTGAAGTACCTTAAGAGTACTTGGATAAGTAGAATAAATATTTATTGAATGAATCAGTCAGTCAATTAATACAATGTTAGTGGTAGATCTACCTCCTTTTACAGAGGAGGTAAAAGATTGAGAGGGGTCAAATAATTTAGTTCTAGACCATGAAAGAGGTATAAATGCTTTTGCTTCAATCATGTGGAACAAAAAGAATCAAAACAAGGAAATTTTGAGTAGTCCCCTGTCGATTTACAAAGAGTTGCTCCTTCATCATTCCACATCTTCAGAAGGTGTGACATGTTTTCTGTATGATGACCAGAAATAACAAGTATTGAGAGTTTTTATTTCTCTGAGAAGAAATAAAAGTAAACTAACAAGGGAGGGGAGGATAGAAGATCTCTAAAAATGAGAATAAGGACAAGTTGAGGGGATCAACTGTAAAAATAAAGAGAAAAGTAGTGGTGGAAGAGAAAGAAATGGGTCTGCCTCTGAAGACTCTACATCCCCAGGTTGAAAAACACTGGTACTTTTTAGGTGACAAAGCACTCCAAGACCTTAGCTGAGTTTTATAATGAATTGTATGTACTATAGGAGCAGAACCTATGGTTTTTAACACTTGGATCGGGATAGACCTGGTGTACCAGTTCTCAGCATGTAGAAATGGCACTGCCACGCTGGAGAAGGCCAGCAAGAAGGAGACGTTCTGTGCAGAAGCCTCACAGAGGGATCAAGTTGGAGAGACTTTGGGAAGTAGAGTCTACCCATGTTAGGACCAGGTCATTGAATACAATTCAGTTCAGTTCAAGTCAATGTATTCTTCCTTCCCCATCACTCACCTAATACATGAAGTAAGTTTAGTCGTCATACTTTTCAAGAAATTTTTAAAAAGATAATCAGGAAAAAATGTGCAATTAAAAAGAGAATCTTGAATACTGATTTGTATCTATGTATCATCTCAATCTCAGACCTCAGATAGGCTTATTAATTGGCCATTTTCTTTTCACTTTTGAAAACCCATCTAACTGCAACTGCTACTTAATTTTTCCTCATTTCCTTAAAAAAATGTGTATCTGATTCTTTCCTAAAATGATGTACTGGAAATAGAAATAATAAATGCTGTCTATGTAGAACTTCCTCTTGCATCTTGTGCTTTTAATACAGTTACAGGGTGTTATAAATAAAACAGTTGTAAACGTTGCACTTGTTGCCCCATGTCTCAGATGGAATAAGTTGGAGAAGTCTGGGGTCCAGAGCTTCATCCAGTCACCAGAGCTGGAAACCCTGTGCTGGGTGACTGGGGGAAAAGGCAAGGGAACTCAGGTGACTGGAACACCCTTGTTTTGGCCCCAAACTCTTATGGGTTTTCCATCCAGGGAACAAGCAGGACCGTGTGTGACCTGCGACTACTCACACTGACTGGATCAGAGAAAACCCAAACTCTGGGTACCTTTCCCCAGGCGCCCTTACCAGTCTGTTCACAAGATGACACAGGATGTAAAAACTGGGGATCCAAAGAAGAGGCCTTCTTGCTGAGACTTTGAATATACATAGTTTCTATAGGCTACTTCACGCCCCTCATCTGGAACCTACCATGATCCAGGTGGGTCAACAGCTCTTCTCTAGCTGGTTGGAAAAGACCAATCCAAAATGTGGGTGATCCAATGAGTGAGAGGCCCTTGCTTCAGTGGGGCACCTTTCTAACAGAGGATGGAGTGTTTACCTATTTCTCCTTCCCCATCAAAAACAACATTCCCTGCTCTTGTTAGAGCACAACTGAAATGTGGAGGGTGGAGGGCACGTCATGAGGAGGTGATCATTGTCAGATTTTCATTTCTTTTTTATTTTTTAAATTTTTTGAATTATTTATTTGAGAGAGAGAGTAGGAGTGGGGTTGAGGAGGGGAGAGGGACAAGCAGACTCCCTGCTGAGCATGGAGCCTGTTCCAGGGCTCGATCCCAGGAGCTTGAGATCATGACCTGAGACAAAGGCAGGCGCTTAACCGACTGAGCCACCCAGGCGCCCCTCATTGTCTCTCTTGATGGAATTGTTTTCATGTGCTTTTGGTCGGCCTGTCCCGCTACTAACAAGCATGTTTTGCTCTGGGTTCCAGGGATATGGAAGTGAGTGGGTACATCTGCCACGGTTCTTTGCTTTGTGGCACTCGATCAACGTATCGCAGTTTGACGTCCTTATCCCATATCACAGCTCCTCACTTTAGGGGAGGATTGGGGTGGGAGTAGGGATGAATGCTATGCATTTCTGAGGCCAACAGGAGTGAATTTTCAAGGATTTGTAACCAGGTGTGTGTGTGGGGGGAAGATTGTGTCTATTATTAGGAAACATTTGTTTTTATTCTTGAAGTTTTACTGCTAAAATGTTGCTGTCAATGTTGAATATTTTATTACCTTTTGGTAGCATGAAAATCATGCTGAAAATCATTTATCATAATCCATAAAGCAAATCCAGGGAATAGCTGGTAAAACAGATCCATTTTATTATAAATCTATGAATATTGTGCTTAATTTTATTGCAGTTAAGGTTTTGCAGCAAATATATTAATAGTGAGGTACCACATTAAAACCTGACTAAAATGGATTACCTTGATGCCAATCTACCCGTGCACACAGGGAAGTTAGTGCCCAGCAGGATTCAATGGAGTTACTAAATTAAAGGCAGACATAGTTCATCTGTGCTGGAAAACAGGCATTGGTTATGTGACAAAGCATAACATCATTTTCTCCCCCTTTAACATAGCTTTATGCGGTCACAAGAAGAGATTTCTCATGGTATGTATATGTGAACCCACTTCCTTTTTCTTTTAAAGGAACAATTTAGAAATTATTGGCAACAATACGATCTACTGTGTAAGCACTAATTTCTTCTAAAATTAGTGTGCTTAAGACTGAAGGTCTTTGTGTGTGTGTGTGTGTGTGTGTGAGACAGACATTGAAGTGTGGAACAAATATACCCCCACCAGTGTTTACATACTGGATACGTCCATGATTCAGAGAGACCTGCATCTCCTTGCATAACAGTCATCTTTTATGAACATTGTAACACATGAAGAGCTTTGCTTCATGATACATTGTTCAACCTCCCCTAAACAATGAGTAAGTTGCACTTGTATATGATCTATCAGCAGTATTTTAAGGGTAGCTGGAAGCAGACCTGTCTTGCTATTGCTTTGACTATCAGTCAGGAGTAGCTGAAATACATTTTAATTTTGGGTTTTGATAATAAGCATCTTTTTCTGCAGAATGTACCAGTCATCAAGTACATGATGCTTCTCTATTTGAAACATTGTGTGTTTTGGTTCTCAATGTTGACACTATATGCCTGGATTCCGATGACCAGTGAATATGCCTGCACATGTTTTCAGAATTTTAACAGAGTGGATACAATTTTCCTTGAGAAAACAGACCATTTCTCTTGAGACAGATTAAGTTATAATCTGTACATTTTTAGTTTTTAATTTCCTTCCCAATCTTGATAGTTAAATTCTTCATATCCTCCAGTCAGTAATTCAGGATCTCTTTTCCTGATTATCTGGAAGAGAAATAGTTTTAAGAACTTAAGAAATGCCACTTGAGGTCAAATCCATATTGCATTCCAGTGTCACTTCTGCTGGTGTTTGAAAGAATATGCTTGCCTTTTAGGTATCTTCTTTGAAAGGTTGGAGATGCCCTCCAAAATATCCCTAACTTTATAACATAGTCGGAATGTATTCCATCTCTTCTTAGACCCATTTAGATTCTCAGGCTGAACAATCTCTTAAAGCAGAGAGGGCAAACAAATGATTATTCCATTCTCCTGCTTCAGATGAAATGTGGTCCTTAATTCTACCTGGGACTTTAGGATTTACTTGGTGTTTGCTGCATCCCAGACATTTTTATTAATATCAGATCTGGTGTTTTGTTGTCATTTTGTGGTTCAAGTCTGAACTTTTTCTTTCTGATTTGCTTTGTTTCAGGAAATCAGAATGGCACACGTTCTTCCCAGTGTGCACCCGGAGACAGGAAATTATGGTTAGCCTTTGGTGTGCTTGGATACTGAGGTATCCTTGACTGTCTATTGATGGTAGTAACTTGTTTCAAGTGCAAGCTTCGAGGTGTTTGTTTCCACCCGACTCTATAAGATTACAGGTAGGGTGGGCACTGGCTGATTATCACTCACTTTTACCATCAAAGATGGTCTAATTTTTTTGAAATTTTTTATTTTATACTAAAAGTTGTCCAAGGTATTTTCTCAAAAGTTATTTTTAAAAAATCTCTATATCTAAACTGGATATAGATAAGTTATTTCCCTTTGTAAGACAATTATTTTAGTAAAATAAGTTGGATGAATAATTTGAAAGGGATATCTAGGACACTGAAAGGAACATTCATCTGAGGACGAACTTTTTGAAGTTACTCATTGTTCACAAATTATGTTTCCTCTGTTTCTCTATATATCTTTGCTTTTGCTCATTATTTGAAATCACTGAAGATATTTTATAAGAACATGCATAAAATTATTCAGTTCCAGGAGTATAAATTTTTATGAAAATTGCAACCTGTTGCAATGCATTTGATAAATTGCATGTATATTTTTATAAGAAAAAGTGAATAAAACTACTTGGATCATTTCTGTTTTTTATTGTTTTATCTATATGTTTCAGTTAATGCCAGCCTTCTGTCTCTGTCTTCCTCACACCAAGAAATTCATTGAGTGCCCCCATCTTAAAATACTAAATTAAAAAGCTTGGCAAATAAAGGAAAAGTGCTCTCACTTATCTCTATTTAAAACAAGAGTCAGACCTAGAAATGTTTTAAATTTTCTTTAAAATTCAGTAATCAAAACCAACATATAAAAGTATTATTTTACCTTGTTATTTTGCTGATGTTGCAACTTCTTAACACTAGTTTTGAATGCTTGATTTTTAGAGTGACCCGGCGATCTACAAAGAAAGCAAAAACATGGTATCCTATTTCCTGGGCTTATCAACATTAATAGCAACTACAGCTTTCTATTTTAGCTTTAAAATTAATATGACAATGAAAACGGATAGCCTGTTTTTGCAGATGCTTTCCACTAGAGCTAGAAGAACTATGCTCTCTGCATCCGCCCCTGAGTTTTGCCTTCCAGTTGGCGTACTGTTTCTTAGGCAGTGGTGTCAGAAGGATTGAACAAAGCTCATGGGAAAGATGAGTGATAACTTCATCTTGCAAAAAGTGGAGTTATTATTTTTTGCGTTATTTTTAAAGTCAGGTTCTGAGTCGTGGTTGCTGAAAAACAACGGTGCAATGACATTTGTTCACACAGTTTAAAAATAAAAGTTACTTTAAAATTTGATGTATATAATTCCAGACTTTTTAATATACATATTATATAATTTCTGATGATAGTGTATACACATTTTGCATCTTGCCTTTTCCCTCTTTACATTATAAGATGGATATAATATTTGGGGAATACTTTCTGACATATGTTCCCTTATCAGTAAATGGTTTTCTTTCTCCCAACATTCTGTCCATTATAATTTCAGGGAAAGGTGGAGAGAGGGTATCACTCTAGGAAGAAGAGCCTATCTGGGAGGTGTAGTTGGAGGACAAGTTCCTTGTTCCTTCCATCACCAGCTAAGGCAGCATTTCTGGTTCCTACTTACCCTGGCTGGGTGACTTGGAGGCTCAGAGTACTAAGGGATGGGTAGGTGTCTGGGGTCAGAACTAAGAGATCACAGGTGAGGGAAATAAGAGGATAGAAACTTTCCAAAGGGCCTGGTGAGGCAAGAAGAGGCCTCCGCCCACACTCCCCAAACATTTAGGCACCACCTTAGAGAAGGGAAGGAAAGGGAAAGGATTTTTGAGCCTGATTATATACTCCAAGGGAACTGAGTTGCCTAAATTGATTGCTCCAACTATTAATCAGATGAAGTTTTTAAAATCGGATTGGACTATATTAAACTCTAACCCCTCCCTGTCTTGGTTCCTTCCCTGCCACCCCTTCCCCATCCGTGGAGAAAGTGCTCATAAGGGAGTTAGGGACAGCTACTAGCAATAAAAAATGGATCCCTCCCTTGTCTGAGGTGTAGCAAGTGAGTAAATCTGGGATCTTACTGTAGTTAAGACAAGTACTTCCTTATTAAAATATCCTCATAGATGTCACTTTGCATCATCATTTCCTTAATCTGGCTCCTATATTTGGAAATAATTTTCATTATCATTAAAAACATCACAGAGAACACATTAGGCCTATTAAATTAAAGGACAAGTGAAGATTTTTAGATCTGAGGAGGAAAAGTCAAATAATTTACTCTATTAGATCTAGATTTGCATTTTCTGCGTATGTATAATGATAATTATAATTAATAAAAGTCAAACTCATCAAGCTAAAAAAGGGACCTTTGAAAATGAAAATTTTGTTTATTCTTGGGAGAATTTTTGCCAAGTTCCTAATATAACTGAGTATGTATATAGGACAATTAAAATTTAAGAAAATGAAAAATGGAGTATATTCGTAAGTATTGAATTGAGGAAAAGAAGGAAAAACAAAGGTGAAAATAGAATGATGGCAGTAGAATGACAAAGAAAACAAACTGAAAATGTTCGTTGTGTATCCATGGACTCATCTCAGTAAGGCACCTGCCCTCAATATAATTTTCCTATCTCTTTCCTTCACTTTTGGGTAGACTAACAAAAAATGCAGCCGAGTTTACAATGCTTTAGAGACTGCTGCTTTCAGTGTTAACATACTTTAGTGTCATCGGCTAATTTGCTTCTGAGTTTAGGTTTAAATGCCAGGAAGGGACTCAGGTTTCTCCTTATGGGGCTGCCCTTGGTTGATAATTACCAAACGGCTCCAATAATGCCTGCAGCAGAGCGGTTTACCCTGAAGAGCATCTGCTTTACTTCTCACCTAAACCCATGAATGTACTCCTGTCATCCCCATTATATGGACGAGAAATGTGGGGCTCAAAGTTGCTTCAGGTCACAACAGGTTGGGATAGAGCTTTAACTCAGGTCTCACTCTAAAGCCTCCGGTCTTAATCACCGTCTTCAGCTATGGTTGATAAGGTCTTAAACGGTCACCTGGTCCTCACATAAGTAAACTGTCAGAGTCACGTACATGATGGCATCTGGGAGGAACAGGAGTGGGGTCAGGGATCCAGGGGGGACCCTCAGCACCCCTGTGCTTCGGTTCTGAGGCGGCTTGTGGGGGCCGTGGGGTTTGTCCTCATGCTGAGATCAGGGTTTAACATTTAACATTGAGCAATTCCACTCCTTTCCATAGTTAACCGGGATAGTAGCTGAGTGTGTCTGTCATTGCACATATTTGCTATGCTTTTCCTTACATATTTGAGTGAACCATACAAAATTGCCAATATTTGATGATTTGTTACTGATAAAATGGTAATGCACATATAGTTGAAACTAATATACTTCTAAGTATACATAGTTTTATTATTAAATTATTACCCAGACAGGATCTATTATTCTGCAACTTACTTTTCTCATTTAATAAAATGTCCTATTTCTATGGCAGCTCCGGTAGACTATATTATTGCTTTTAACTGTTGTGTTCCGTCATGACTAAGACACCACACTGCATGTGACTCAACTATTTCTCCACAGATGCTCTGTACAGTTGTTCCACGATTCAAAGCAACGATGCTGGGAACGTTTTTATAAACATATCTTAGTGCACAAATGCAACTATTTTTGTAGGAATAGTTGTCTAAAAGTAGAGTATTTGAATCAAATTTAAAATTTTGTTGATACCAACAAATATTTCTTGGAAAAAGGTTTTTTTCCAATTTACACATCCACCAGCAATGCTTGATAGGACTAGTTTCCCCTGATGTTACTCACACTGGATAATATTAACATTTTTTACTGAACTCATGAGTAACACATGATACTTCTTTATTGTTTTTGGATTTCCCTAATTATAGTGAGACTGAGTGCATCTTTGCCTATGTTTTCTTGGTCATCTGGATTTCTTCTATGAATTGTACTTGTGTATTCTTTGCCCATTTTAATATTAGCATGCTTGTCTTTTATTGATGTATAGGAGCTCCAATGATTATGGATGTTCAACCTTTACAATATAAGATAGGTTATAAATATTTTTCTCCCACCTTGTTAATATGTTAATTTTATTTATGGTGAATTTCCCCCCTGTGGAAATTCTCCTTTTAATGTCATATGAAATTGGTGTCTTAATTATGGAAGGCTTTTTTAGCCCGGGATTATACAAATGGTTTTAAAAATAGTTTTCCTCATACTTTCAAAGTTTTGATTTTAGGTTTCAGTCTTTGATATAGAATTGATTTGTCTATAGTAAAAAGCTAATTTTATTTTCTAAATGGAAGGCCAGTTGTATTCTAAGCATTATTGACCAGTCAGTCCATACTTGCCCTACTGATTTGAAATGCTTGTTAAAATAGTCTAAATATAAGGGTCTATTTGGGGCTTATATATATTTGTTCTGTGTATTTATTGTCTGTCTTAGTGTTCTAAATATTATTTTATGTATTACTATCCTTCAGAGTAACCTCTCCATCATTGTACTTCAAGATTTTCTGTTGTACATTTTCATTTCCAGGAGAAATTTAGAACCAGAATGCCAAATTCCATATAAAATCCTGTTGGGATTTTAATTGAGATTAACTTGGAGAAAGTTGACAGCATTATCATAATCCTCACTCACTTGAATGGATATTCTTGTGTTTTATGTTCTTTGTAAAGGTGCTTTATAAACATAATTTCATTTACTCCTTGCAGTAACCCAATAGGTGGGTTTTATTAGTCTCATTATCCAATGAGGGAATTGAAATTTTGAGACGTTAATTGGTCCAAGGTCACTTGATTAGTTAATCGCTAAGCCAAAAAATTTTTTTAAAAAATTTATTTATTTATTTGATAGAGCACAAGCAGGGGGAGCGGCAGGCAGAGGGAGAAGCAGACTTCCTGCTGAGCAGGGAGCCCGAAGTGGGGCTCAATCCCAGGACCCCGAGATCATGACCTGAGACACTTAACCGACTGAGCCACCCAGGCGCCCCGAACCAAAATTTTAATCACAATTTGACTCCAGAATATTGCTTCTTAACCATAATCGGGTTAAGTCGTTGTCTTTAAAGTGTGAATACTTTGAAAGAACAGGGTATGTTTCATGAAAAGAAAGGCTAAATCTCTCTAGCTTCTTTTTGATGGAGTAAGCAGATGGCCGTGAGCTCCCTAGTGGAAAATTAGAGACAGTGGCCACTAGAATGAGTAAGAGGACAGTAAAAACAAACCACAGGATGATCAACTCAAGATATGGGTCTCAGGTGATCACCACTGAGGAGATGTTCAGGTGTGTGTGATTGGAGACTCTTGACTGGGAAAGGCGAGTCAGGCTCAGGAAGAAGCCCTCCACGGGCAGAGTGCACGTATGGACTTGATCCGGGTGTCACAGGACTTGGAGAAGCGTTAGGAGCCTCTGGTTCCCTGATCGCTCATAGCGCCACCTACACCCTGAAGTCTGGTTCGTGAATAGAAGGCCAATTATATCTCGCCTCCTTTTCCCTCTTCTTACGAGCTTCTCTTAACCTTTCTGTTGGAAATAAAGGATTGATTAAACATATCTATAGACTAGACTACTATGTAATCATTAAAAATGATGGTACAGAAAATATTTAATGACATGGGGGAATGTTCTATGTAAAAAAGCGGTGTATAGAAGAAGCCAGTCTGATTCCATTTTGCTTTAGGACATTCTCTGTAAACATTCTGTACAAACATGCGCATCACAAGATAAGAACGGTTAATATGAATATCACATGATTTTTCTTTCTCATAATTCTTGTATTTTCCAAATTTCTCAGGATGAAAGCTATATTTACATAGGGAAAAAAATATTACACACACACACACCCCCCTCAACACCAGTTAAGGTAGGAGACCATGTGGTATTGGTCTTGAAGCCGACACGCTCTTTTTCCTTCCCTGCTGGTCTTGCTGAAATACTGCTGAAAGGCCGGAGCAGTGGTCTCAAAGTGTGGTCCTTGGGCCGCCAGCAGCAGACTTAGCTGGGCCCTACCCAGACCTCCTGCATCAAAAAAGAGCGTAGCAGGGCCCGGCCATGTGTTAAAAGAAGTCCTCCCCTGGGAGATTTTGATGTGCACTGGAGGTCGAGAACCCGTGGGTTTAGAGGAACGTATGCATTCATTCTAACGATAGGTTTCTCAAAAGCACGAATAACAAATTCCTGGATCTATAAAGTGACTGTGCTCGACCTACCTGCACGGAGCTCCCTTTCCCTGGATGACCTTACATTCCTCTGCGGGGGCACAGAGGCCCGGGTCCCGGTGGTGCCCACGCCCCCGGCTCTCGTGCCCTGGTCGGCATCGACACTCTGCTTCCTCGGTCCGCTCATTTCTCACACACTCGGCAAATTCGCCGCAGGCCAGGAATTTGCAGGGATCTGCTTGATCCGCTGTAAGAGATGGGCAGGTTTTAATGACTACGTGGATGCCTGAGCAGCGAACCGGTGGAAGTCAAAGGCCAGAGACCAAAGAGATTTGCCATCACTCCATTTTGGAGTGGGTTGTCCAGTAATGGTAACAGACTGGAGTGAAAAGTGAAATGCACATTTCTGTATCTTTGCGATTATGGACACAGGTGATAACATATTTACTCTGAATATAATTATGCACAAACTTGGTTGGGCATCAGAATCAGCCAGAGGCCTTGTTAAAACACAGGTTCCCGGCCCCATCCTCAGAGTGTCTGAAGCAGAGGGCTTGGGACGGTGACTGAGGATCTGTGTTTTTAAGGAGGTCTCAGGTGATGCTGCCGCATCTGGAGAGCACGTTTGGTAACCGCTGCATTAGAGAATTAAGATTTTTTTTGTTTGTGTTAGGTTTTTAAGGTAAGCATTTTCTGCAGAGATGAGTTGTGAAAATATATATTTAAGATCAGGTATACCTTATAAAGTAGCCAAGCAGTCATATATGTGGATGGTTTTGAGAACTCAGGACAATTTCCTCATTTAAAAAGTATCTTTCTCTTAGTCCCTTGCTGATTCCTTAGGCCTTAATGTTAAGAGATCTCTCCTTTGGATTAATCGTTTTTCCCCTATTAAAGTTCAAATAGATCTCTAGTCTCTGTTTTTGAGAGGCTAGAGATCTATTTGTTTCAGGTCATTGTTTCATTTATTTAAAGTGAATGGCATTTGTACGTGCAAAGACTATGAAAGGCGTCCCAACCGGACCCAGCAGCACGAGCAGAGGCACAGAGGTGGGAAAGCAAGAGGCAGGAGAAGAGAGAGCCTGGGAGGCCCACTTAAGAGGCAGCAGACACTCATGGACAGGAAGGCAGGGAACCAAGACTGGAAAGATAAGGCGAAATTCTGGTAGGTCTTGAAGGCCATGCTAAGGAATTTGGACTCTATAGGCAGGGGGAGGCCGTGGAGGATTTCCGGGCGAGGGAAGGGGCTCATCAGAATTGTGTGTTCGAAGATCTGTAAATAGCATTGTCAGAATTAGGATGATTTCAAGTGATCATCTGGTCCTGTATTTCTCAAGTGGGAACATTTGCAGAACTCTAATTCAGCAGGACTTAATAGGTTTTACACTAAGAATAGGTTGGTGGCTAAATAAGCTTCCCCCCCCCCCCAAAGGCAGGGTGAAATAAACGTAACAGCTTTCTCTCTCTTCCCTCCAAACTTATCCCCCTTCTCTTTTTTTTTTTTAAAGATTTTATTTATTTATTTGAGAGAGAGACTGAGAGAGAGGGAGCATGAGAGGGGGGAGGGTCGGGAGGGAGAAGCAGACTCCCCGCTGAGCAGGGAGCCCGATGCGGGACTCGATCCAGGGACTCCAGGATCATGACCTGAGCCGAAGGCAGTCGCTTAACCAACTGAGCCACCCAGGCGCCCCCCCTTCTCTTTTTACTTTTAAATTTCTTAGGGTCATTAATAAGCTAATGTCTATTGTGAATCTTCAAGTGGGGAACATAGGTGGCTTTGCCAAGTTTACTGCCCATAGAAGCTCTGCGCAGGGTCACTGGGGGACACGGTGTGGGGTGAGAAGGCCAATGAACCTTTATGTTCATTCATCCAGCGCCTCCTAGTGGCGGCAGAAGTGATAGCGAGGGAGATGAGTAAAACCAGCCCCGGCCGTGGGCAAGAGCAGGAAAAACCGTGTTTGGGGCTCCCAGCAGGTAGGTAGACCTGCTAAAAGACTTCACGTGAAGTTGTATTTCTTTGCAGCATGAGGGTCCCTTATGGACAAGCAGGACTGACTAATGTGAAGTGGCTTCGTCTGCTTGAAAGTTCCTAAAGCTGGCCATGTTACGGGATGCTTGTCACTGTTTGGAAAATGACTCAAATTTACCCTGACAACCCAGGCGATTCATATCCAGGGCCAGGTTTAATAAATAACAGCTGTCAGGGACCTTACACTCAAGACTTGTAGTCTTGATAACGGAAGTCAGGGGGGAATAGTCGGAGCTCCATTTCCTTCTCTCCACAGCAGAGAAATATATTAACTAGGAAAGCTGACGGAACGCACAGATTCTACCCCTCTGAAGAGTAATAGCAAATGTGTGATAACCAAATGAGTTTCCCATTAAAAAAATATTACTGTTTTACTGTCATTTCCTTCAGCCCAGCCAGGCATCGTCTAGGCACCAGTAAAGCTGAACAGAACACAATAAGGCAACGTTGGAGAAATAAACTTATCCACATTCGGGGACCCTAGACCAGATATATTTGAAAAACAAATGCACCTAGTTTATAAATAACTTGCTTTCCCCGTGTTATTTATTCAGGACCAGTCTACAGAGAAGTAGGAGACTTAAATCACCAAGCTTAGTTTTTGTTTGCTGTGTATACTTTACTGGGTACTAAGACAACATTAATTGATTCAACACATATCAGCGTGGCCCTTCAAAATCTTTAGCATTAAGAATTTCAGACCAGGGGCGCCTGGGTGGCTCAGTCGTTAAGTGTCTGCCTTCGGCTCAGGTCATGATCCCAGGGTCCTGGGATCGAGCCCCGCATCGGGCTCTCTGCTCCGCAGGAAGCCTGCTTCTCCCTCTCCCACTCCCCCTGCTTGTGTTCCCTCTCTCGCTGTGTCTCTCTCTGTCAAATAAATAAATAAAATCTTAAAAAAAAAAAAAAAAAGAATTTCAGACCAACTAACTGCTTTAGATTTTAATTTTATCCTTAGATAAAATCTTACATTTTAGATACAATGTTAGAGCTGAAGGTGTTTTAGAACCTTCTCACCCATTTGCTCACTTTGCAGATGAGGAAGCTGAGACTCAGAAGTTGAGTGTTGCAAAGCCCAAGGTTGTTTGTGTGGATCCCAGTGCCAGAGAAGGAAAGAGCCAGGAGGGGGAGCTGTGGGACCAGGCATGAAAAGGCAATTGCCGTTAATTAGAATCGTTAATAGAAGAGATTATATTTAGAAATTTAATTTGTGAAGCAGCCCGTACTGCTTCCATTATTATACTTTAAAAATACTTTTCCTAGGTGTGTTGATGGCCCTCTACTTACATACCAATCTTGAGGGGGCACCTACAACTTCGGGCTTCAGGCGAAGACTGAGAACTGGATGTGGGCTGATCATGGGGAGGAGGCGCCATGGAAGAGAAGAGATTGTACAATGGATGAAAGTTTAGTAGAAATTTTTTAAGCGAAGATTTCCCATACTGTTATCATTTTCTTTCTTTGTCATACCCCAAAGACATTTCTCCTTAGAATGATGGACTCATTCATCAGTCACCTTAGGCCATACGACTATTTGCCTCCTCCTTAATACATCGCCAGGGCTTTGCACAAAACAAAATTTGCACAAAATCAGTCTGAACTTCCTCCTCTCTGCTCTTGGTTTGATCAGTACATTATGTAAACATTATGTAGCAACAACCTGAACAGTCTGTAGCTTGGAAAGAAGGAAGACAAAAGAGACTTGAGATCCATAGTTGATTAAGAAGAGTAAAACTGGATGCCATTTTCCAGAAGAATATTTTCAAGTCATAATCAAGTTGTGTGTGGATTTGAAGAAGTGAAGTCCTCATGACTGGTGCATAGACTAGTTGGTCTATAATTGCCTTAGCTTCCTGGATTTGCTTAAGCCCTCTTTCGATACATTCTTTTTAGGGCACTATAGAGAGGTTTCTTCATGAGCCTGTACCACCCACCAAACAGCTACTATCGTTTGGGGTGGCCTCTGAGCCTACTATAATTGCTTGCTGGCAAGATGAATGAATTTTCTGTCCTTAACTTACTTAGGTAGCTCTTCTACACAGCGAATTTGACAATCTCTGTGTAAAGGCCAGGGCACTTGGCCTTAGTGTGTAGAGCCGTGACAGGAGCTGCTCGTTTGCAGCTGGTAGGAAAGTTCCAGGTCCACCCTGACACCAAGAGGTCCTGGCTTCGTCCCTAGCTTCCCATGTGGATTTTGGAGGGAGTCAAAGCATTAATGTCATTCCATTTCAGGCCTTGCCCTGACGTAGCCATAGGGATCATGATCTTGAACCTCCAGCTTCACCAGGAGTGCAATGACAATTATTTATATTAACAGGGAGCTCACATTTATTGAGGGCCATTTTGTGTTTGGCAGTGTGCTCGGCACTTCAAACATGTCTTCATTAATATTCACAACCATCTTCCAGAGCAGATATCACTGACCTCATTTTCATAAGTGAGGAAACTGAAGTACATTTTATTTTATTTTTTTTTAAAGATTTTATTTATTTATTTGAGAGAGAATGAGAGAGAGCATGGGGGGGTGAGGGGCAGAGGTAGAAGCAGACTCCCTGCTGAGCAGGGAGCCCGATGCGGGGCTCAGTCTCAGGACTCCAGGATCATGACCTGAGGCCAAGGCAGTCGCTTAACCGACTGATCCACCCAGGTGCGCCCTGAAGTCCATTTTAGCTAGAAAGTATAACCCTAGATTAGCATCCACATGTCTGCTTACAATGTTCAGCTTTTGACATCATTCTAGTGGTTTTCCAATATGGGGTTTCCAGGAGACACCTCAGGGTCCAAGGGGCTAACAAGGGATGGTGGGGGTGGCGAGAGGCTCAAACATGCCAGCATCTTCCTCTTACCGGTTCACATATCAGACTTCCACAAATGCTTTGCTTTGAACAAAGGCCCTCTTAACTAATCAAGAGCTCCAAACCACTGTCTGCCAAAACTCCTTCATTAGGCAGAATGTTTGCTTAGAGAAGCACAGTCTGATACTACAGCAACTCCACGTTTGTTCCTGTTGCTCAAATGTGACAGCAATGACCACGGCTTGAAGGAAGTGAGCTGCTACGTGGGGCTCGGGCATATGTGTATCATTCTGAGATGTCCAGTGTAAGCACATTTTATGTATCAGTTTCCCCCCTGATTTGCTTATGTAATGTCTTTTATCTCTGTGCCAAAGGTCCTGAAAAGCATTTTCAACTGGCTTACTGAAGAAGGATGTCCCTTAGCTC